ATGGACACTCAGGTCAAGAGCAGGCATGGCAAGAGCCAAGTCATGGGCATAGTTGACCGATTTAGTAAGTACGCAGTCTTTGTTCCTTTGACGTCAGAGGCACGTATTGATTTAGAGGTTTTTTGACTGTTGGGTTAGTGAGAATGGAATCCCGCTGTCAATAGTTAGCGATAAAGATAGTCGCTTTACCAGCCAGAACTGGCAAGAACTCATGGGAGTGTATGGATCTAAGTTGTTGATGTCATATGGCCGTCATCCAGAGACTAATGGTCAGACAGAGCAAATGAACAAGATCCTACAACAAGTTCTGCGCATGCACATTAGGCCAGATCAGATTAACTGGGATGAGATGTTACCTAAGGTAGCTAGTGCATATAATAATAGCGTGCATCTGTCTACCTGCCGCACTCCCAATGAACTGCACAAGTCCTTTAGGCCCCGAAGACCATTTGAAGGACTTAGCCGGGATCAGATTCACAGATTGCCACCCGGGACCAGGGAGTTTGTTGTGCAGCACGAGAAAGAACTAGCTATTGTTGTAGAGAACCTCAGGAAAGCCCAACATAGAATGATAGAGCAAGTGAACAAACATCGTCGCCCTTCACAATTTAAGGTAGGCGACTTAGTCTGGGTCAGTTCTAAAGAGTTTGCGCCTGAGGAGAACATCTCGCAGAAGTTATTGCCCACATATAGAGGACCGTGGCCTGTTCTGGAAGTCAAGGGCGGCGAAGATGGACCGTCCTACACCATAGAGTTACCAGCACACCTCCACACTTACCCAGTTTTCCACGCATCGAAGTTACTACCTTGTCAAACAAGTGATCAGTTTCCATCCCGTAGATCGATGATCCCACCGGATATGGATGGAAGATATGACATAGATGTTATAGTGGCTGAAGATGTCTTCAGAACTGGAGGTAGGGGTCGTCCGCAGAAACAGTATAAGGTTCATTTTAGTTACCAGGAACCGAAAGACGACCGCTGGTTTACAAGATCGGAACTTCTAGAAACAGCTCCCGATATAGTCCGGGCCTACGAGAGACAGCAGAAGGGTAAAGGTCCTGCCTTGGACTGAAATTTTCTCGGAGGACCTCGAATTTAGGCCGGCGGGAGTGAAACGGTATTCACCAGTTCGCAGTAGCGAATGCAGATCCCAGGGCTTGATCCCTAGTTCCCCGTCTTACCTGTGTATAGTATCAGTGTCAACCCGTACACTTGAACCCGCAACCTGTAGGACCGCCAGTGGTAGGCAGGTTTTCGTAGGTCACAACTTAGAAGGGAATCGAACTGTAGACTTGTAGGGTAAGAGTCTAGACAGTTATGAAGTCGTAGCTGTAGAATGTCTGAAGGGTCAAGGTCATAGCTGCTACTTACCTGAAAGGGCAAAGTCGTAGCTGCTACAGTATCGAAAGGCCAAGTAGAGGTTTCTAGAACTGGCCTTTCGGAGTCAGCCCCTGTTTAGGCCGAGGCAAGTGGGCAAGTGGTATAGGTCCACTACGCAGAGTCAGCAGTCCCAGGTAGCCCARTCCGGTCYAGTCAAGCAAGTACCGTCTGGGACTGTGCACATYGTGGGCCAAGGGATACAGGGCAGACCAACGCCGCACAGAAGTATAAATCAAGAGGCTGCGTCCAGCCATTCATTCATTCYTGCGAATGCCATGCGGAAGCGCTGCCTCAGCAKYTTGTGCGAGGAGGTCYRCAGTRCGCCCGAAGACGAAGTGGGCAGAGAAGTGTAGTGTAGCGACAGGGTAGTGGCAGCCATAGCTGCCATAGGTATAGTAGCGTGTGTGTGCGTGTCGCGTGTATGTACARTGTTGYGTGTGGGACATCCAGGGTGATCCAGAGTGCGAACAGTGAGTTGTGTGGGCGCTCAGACGCCATAGCCAGTGGAAGAGAACTCTTATCTGGTTACGATATCCTTGAGTACTGTGTGGGCGCATGTCGCCAGTTTGCTGAATCGCTGTTTGCATGCTTGACGAAGTGTGAAGTCGAGTCTGATTGTAATTCTCCCTCTCTCCTCCTTCGTTTGTGTATGATTCTCACCTCATTCTATCATCACACACATTTGCGATTGTTTGTCATTCATCATCAGATCGATAATCATATGGACTGGTAATGTTGACGAGTATCATCACGTCTAGGCTTATTGCAATTTGGTATCGGAGCAGATCTTCCGATAGTGTGACAGAGTCGACAACGACAATTGGTGGCATCTACATTGAAGTGGCTGACGTGGACAAGAGAGCGCACGTCAGATTCTGACGTGGCATTAACGAGGCATTGACGTGGCCTTGGTATACATGTCTGATGCTGATATGGCATTGACGTGGCATTGATAATAGCGCACGTCATATGCTGACGTGGCATCCACGTGGCATTGATATTTGCAGTATCGCTGACGTGGCCGGTGGATGTTAGCAGATTGACGATGTGGCATTGCTGACTCACCATTCGGTGAGATAAGAGGCTGACGTGGCAGACAGAAGTGTTGCTGTGTTGGCACTCCAGGGGATACACGTGGTAGGTTGGAACTTCGACTTCGGGGCAGACTGGTACTTCGATTTCAGCATACATCGCTGACGTGCACCCCATTGATGATATTGATTAGACCTGCTGACCTGGCATACTCATCGAGTTGCTGAGTTGGCAGGCCAGGGGTGACACGTGGCAAGCACGATCGTGCCTAAGTGAAAACAGCATTCTGATGACTAAAGCGGCACGGCAAGAAGACTGACGTGGCTGTGGTGTCGAACATCAGATTGTGTGCTGGTCACACAGGACAAAGAAGGACGAAACAGCAAGAAGGGGAAAACGCTAACTATTGATTGATTTTTGTTGGCGGACTTACCTGTTGTCTGGCAGTGTTGTGTACCTGTGTACTCACTTGTGTTTGTTGTTGATCATGCTGGCCTGGAGTTGCGGTACCTGAGATAGACTAGGATGTCATCACATTGAAAACAGAACAGCGAATAGAAATTAGAAAACTTTTGTTCCTTATTATTATTATTCTTTTTGACTCAGACGGAGTGTTGAGACAGGTGACCGTGAAATTATTGTCTCTTGCGGTAGAACAGTGCGCTGATTGTTTATTTTGCGGTAGGATAATCTGGCCAACGAATTTTCCTGTTTTTGTTCTCCCAAAATGTCTTGCTTCTGGAAATCTTTGCAGCAGTCTATCTTGACGAGATTTGTGACCACTTTCTTGTTCCCTATTCCAATTGCACTTTCCGTTGGGGAAGGACCGTCTGAATCGAGGACAAGGGGACATGCTGATAAGAAGAGAGAAAAACTGTTGGCTTTGTGGAGTCAGTTTCTGATTGAGGTACAACTGTCTGGACCGGATGCTGAGCAACACATCCGTGATAATTTTGATCTTCAGGGGGTTGAAGACCGCCTGAAGAAGTCTATCACGGCTGTGGAGGTTGTGGCAGCCGGTACAGAGGCCTCCAAACTGATTGCTCAGGGGCGACAGGCTCTAGACCAACTTGCTTTGAAGCAACTGGAAGAGATTATGGAAGCTACTCGTAAAGGGAAGGTGAAACCAGAAGTAAGTGAGGAAACGATTGATGCTAACATCCAGCAGCTCAGAGATACTCTGGCTGCCGAAGAAAGAAAGAAGGAAAAATTAGTCAGAAGAAGAGAACAAAAACAGCGAAGGGGACAAAAGGTTAAAGAGATCAGACAAGTCATAGGAACAGAAGTCGGTGAACAGACTGACATGTCACAAACATTGGCTCATATTGTGACATATCTTACCTTTCTAGAGGAGAAGATTGATAGACAGCAAAATCAGTTGGATGAAATCACTGTTGGATTGAGAACAATTGCTAATATTGTGAAAGGTAAGAATCAGATTCAGGGAGAAGAAGAACAAGAAGAGAAGAAGGAGAAGAAAGAAGTAAAGAAGTTGATGGGGGACGCAATAAAGTCTGCTGGTCCCGTGGAAAAGGATCCAATGGAAATGGATCAAGTCCACCATCTACTCCTCACTCTTCTCATTCTTCTAAGTCTACTCCTAAAGGAACTCCAGAAAAGACAAGCACTGAACCCGAAAAACCGAAGAAGAAAGAAAAGGTGAAGATGAAGTTGCCGTTTACGTTTTGCAACAAGAAAGAAGAAAGTTTGTTGTTGTGGATTGCAGAAATCCAGATGTATGTGAGTACCGCACCGATCGAGCCGGAGTCCCAAGTCGCGTTCATCACTTCTTGCATGGGTGGTGAGGCCAAGCAATGGGTGTTGGCCGAGGCCAATGCGGCGGGTTTCGAAGGTGTCGGTGAGTGGGCAAAGACATTGACGCTGAAACAGTTCTTGGCGAA